CATGGAAAAGTTCATGAGAGAATTAAGATCTTAGGAAAAGAGGTGAGGAGGATAATAGAACACATCTTCAGTTAAGGGCATGGGCCCAGTGCCTGCGAAGTAACGAGGTTAAACATAATTTAATGATCCGTGCTTAATTAATAGCAGGAAATTACCCAAATATGATCTAAAAGGAAACATTTATTTCAAGAATTACTTTCTGAAGGATCATTTTGTGAGAAGTTTAACTTTTATTTCCAATCTCTGCATCCTTTATTAAAGCAGATAACACAAAACTAATCACATGAGGGTTCTTCTGTTTCTCATAAACCCATATTTTTTACAAGACAAATACAATTCCTTTCCATTTAGAACATATTTACAAACAAACTAGTTAACACAGTCTCTGGCCACCTGAATTTATAACTTTAAGTATTCTTATCAATTATCCATCTTGAAAGGACTGGAATTGGAACAGGAAACCCCACAATCAAGCTTTCAACACAAAGAAGATTTATTTGCCACAGAGGGTCAAATGGCAGAGATTAATAAGAGACAAAAACAGGAGACAGAGGACAAGGGAGAATGAACAATAAACAAGGGAGATTGGGGGGGGTGCTATTTGCCCTAGAGAGACAAAGGCCTACCTCTTGATGGAAAGAAGACAGATGTGGCCTATAAACAAATGATAGTTTATAAAGAGAAAAAGGGAAACTCCTTGCTAGGATGAATTAGTTTAGTTTGATTGGGCATGCTAATTAGGGTAGTCATAAGGCAGATTTTGATTGCTTCAGGATTTTCATAGCTGAGACTTGGTGATCAGTCTTAGGAGGAGGAAGTGGCCAAGTAAGAGAATAGACTTTTTGGGGCTATTTTTTGAAATGTAATCTAACAATTTAGCAAGGCAGAAGAAATGGTGGAAGGGCAAGACTTGCCAGAGCCATGTTTGCCATGCTAGGGCTTCTCAAGCCCTTCACATGTTAATGAACAACATTTAATCATAACTAGTGTGCCAAATTCTGTGGGGGGATTTATAAGTCAATCTGATAAAATTCTTGCTTGTAAAAAGATAAAAAGCAGGAAATACAATTACACTCACAATTATAACATGTACTTGGGAACATATAAGAGGCAAAAATTCATTATGTCTAGATGGTGATATTTCAAGCGTATTTATGATAAAACCCACAAAAAGCAGATAGCCAGTGTTATGTATCTTGAAAATTAATAACAAGAATAAAACCAACTTATGCATGAATGAAGGCAGACAGAATTCAAATGTGAACCTACGTGAGTGACTGCATGTATCAGACTCTACATTTGTCAATATGCAACTATCTACATAGAATCAGAATGTTTTTCCAGAAGCGGGACCACATAGAGAGAGGTTTTACATCTGCATCCATGCAATTAAGAACATACAGAAGACTCTTGACCTGAGCCAAGACAAGTGATCACAAATAGACAGATGTTGCATTTGTAGTCAAGTGAAATATAGGCTGTGCCAGCAGTTATCTTTCTCTTCCTTCTTTCCTTCCTGTTTGTTCATTTTTTCCTTTTTCTCTCCCTCCCTCCTTTGCTCCCCCTCTCTCCATCTCTGTCTCTCTCTCTCTCTCTCTCTCTCTCTCTCTCTCTCTCTCTCTCTCTCTCTCTCTCTCTCTCTCTCTCTCTCTCTCGTATATGCACTCCATAGCTGGAGGTCAGAAGATAGATAGCAGGAGCTCTATCACTCCACCATATGGGTTCCAGGAATTAAACTCAGATCATTAGGCTTGGAGACAAGTACCTATGTGCACCAAGCCATCTCACTGGGCCTGCCTTCACTTTTATACTTACTTAAAATGTACCTTCAATTTTGTGAACTAGCAATGTTCTGTCCTCCTCTCTCTTACCCCAACCTCCCTTTCCATTCTTTCTCCCTTTTCTTTTCCTTCCTTTGTTCTTTTCCCCTTGTCCCTTTCTTCTTCTCACCCTCTTTTGTAAAGATTTATTATTTTTAAGTTTATTTATTTATTTTTATTTCTTTACATCCCAACTGCTGCCCCTCCCATTCCCCCCTCACACAGTCCCTCCCCCCATTTCCCCTCCCTTTCTCCTCTGAGAGATCGGGCCACATCAAGTCTTTGCAGGTTTAGGCATATCTTCTTCCACTGAGGCCAGAGAAGGCAACCCTGCTGGGGAACAGATTCCACAAGCAGACAATAGCTTTAGGGACAGCCCCCGGACTCTAGCTGTTGGGGACCCACATGGATACGAAGCTGCACATCTGCTACAAATGTGCTGGGGGTTTCGGCCCAGCCATGGTATGCTGTTTGGTTGTTGGGTCAGACTCTGAGAGATCCCAAGGGTCCATCCAGGTCTGCTGACTCTGATGGTCTTCCTGTGGAGTTCCCCTTCAGGGCCCTGCAATCCTTCCCTTGATTCTTCCAAAGAGTCCCTGACCAACGTTTGGCTGTGGGTCTCTGCATCTGTTTATTTAGTTTTAATATTTTAAAACTGTAATTACACCATTTCCCTGTTACCATTCCTCTTCCCAAATGTTTCAATATAATCATCCTTGCTTTCTTTCAAATTCATGGATTCTCTTTTCATTAATTGTGTGTGTGTGTATATATATATATATGTATATATATATATATAGCAAATGAATATCTATATTTATTGTTGCTCTATTCATAACAACAAGGAAATAAAACCAACCTAGATGTCTATCAAAACATGAATGGATAAAACAATGTGATATATACACAATGAAATTTTACTCAGTCATAAAGAAAAAATAAGGGAGGATGGTTGAATCTTTCTCAGAAGGAGAAACATCATGGATAGAGGGAGGGAACTGTGTGGGAGAGAGGAAGGGGAGGGGAGCTGAGTGAGGGTGGGGGCAGAAATTGGTAGAGGGCAATCTCTAGGAAGTGCCAGAGACCTTGGTCAAGGAGTGACCCCAGATGAGCAGCTTGGTCTTCATGTGAATCCCCTGACAACCGGACCAGAGGATGAACCTTAATCTGTTTCCTGCTTGTGCATCCTGTTTCCCTAACTGGGCCGCCTTGTCTGGCTACAATGGAAGAGGATATGCCTAGTCCTGCAGTGACTTGATGAGCAGGGGTGTGGGGTGTGATAATCGGGAAGGTAACTCCCCCTTTTCAGAGGAGAAGGGGACAGGGGGATGGAGGAATGATTTGTGTGAGGGGATACAAGGACGAGAGTGGAGACTGATATTGGAATGTAAAGTGAATAAATACATAAAGAAAAAAGAAAAAAAGAAAATCTGCAGAAAAATCAATAGAACTGGAAAATACTATTATTAAATCAGATGATTCCATTTCTGAAAGAAAAACAGTACATGTTCTCACTATGAGTGATCCTAGCTTCTGATTTTTTTAATATATTGGAAGGAGTACAGGTAAAGAAACTGTAAGAGCTAATGAAAGTAAAAAGACTTAAGAGAATCATTGTCTTTTCTCACTAACTATGAAAATTAACCTTGTCTGTAGTTAAAGTGAAACTAATCAGATAGTAAAAGCCATAATGTTGAAAGATGAAGAGAAACAACAGGGTAAATATGTGTATTAACTTGAGAGTTAATAAAGAAAGCTTTACGTTTACATTTTTACTATGCCTACACCTGTGGTTGGTATACCTTAAATATTTTAAGTGAAATACTGTATGTTGTTAATAAACATGAAGTTTCTATGCTTGTTACCCTGATGCTTTAAAACACTACATTATATACTACTTCTCACATTTGGGCCTTGAAACTAGGCAGGGATTGGTCAATGAATGTACCGAAGAGGAAGTTGTCAGTTAATTACAGAGTAAGTTCAGAATTGTGATGGAATGTTTTGCCCTAAGCATGACTAATCATAGTAGTAAGCATCAAATCAGTCCCTCAGAGAAATTTTATTACCAAAATAATATGGTAGTAATTTAAGGATATTTTGTGACAATAGTATATCCTTTTCACTATAAAATAATAAATGCTCATTATGAAAATTTTAAGAGAAATAAAGACAGAAACAACTTTTTAAGAAGTGTCTAAAATGAAAACAACCTTAATAATGGCATTACAAAAATGATATCACATATTAAATGTGGGAAATATTTATAAAACAATAGAGTCAAATATTAAAGACACAAATTTTATTCAACATTATTTTCAAATATATACATTATTTGTCTGTGTCTTTTGTGTTTATAGTGTTTCCATACTAGTAACACAAAAATTATACTGAAAAATGAGGCCTATGGAACAGTGTACTTCACATTTGTGCCATGTAAGGCTTTTAGAACTTGAAAGGCTAGAGATAGGCAAACTAAAATATATTTAATAATGGCAATAAATTGCCTAACTGGATAATCTGGATCAAAAATACTTAATCTCTTTAGTCCTCATTCATTATCAGTAGCACAGTAAGATTAAACTAGATAAAACTTTGGTCACATTCAGCTGCATGTATCCATAACTCAAAAATTTAAATCAGATCTTTCCAGAAAGGAATTTTTATGTGTTTAAGAGCTGTAGTGGTTCAAAGGAGAAGGATCACCATATATTTGAATACTACTAGGTCCCTAGTTGGTGAAACAGTTCGGGAAGGATTAGGCAATGTGGCTTCTTTGGAGGAGGTGAGTCACTGGGGGTAGGATTTGAGGTTTGAAAAGCCCACACTTCCCAGCTATTTTTCTTTGCCTTGTGATTATGTTTCAAGATGTGTGTTCTTCTCAGCTACTGCTCCAGTGCCATATTTGCCTGCCTGTTGCCATGCTCCCTGTCATGATCACAGACTCTAACTCTCTAAAACTGTAAGCCTCAAATGTGCTTCTTTTTTTTAAAGTTGCTTTATAACATCAATAGAAAAATAACTAAGGTAAAACTTCAGTCAACAGAAAAAGCAAAGCAGGGTTTAAATAATATACTATAGTAAAAGTTTTCACTCAACTTGCATTTATATTGATTCATAGAAAATAAAATGGATATTTTGTGACAAATAGAAATACTTGTACAATTAAATAATACTTACACATGTTGAGCTGTCTAACAAAGCTTGCTATTTTGTTATGTTTGAAGTATTTTGGTAGTAATTCTTTGGCGAAGGTTTCTTGATTCACAATCTGAAAGCTGTGACCATCCTTGTAATAATGAAAAACCAAAAAGTAGTTTATGTACCAGGAAAAAAGTAATGTTTTACCAAAGCAACAAATCAAAATAATATCTCATGAACCCCAAACTTGTGAAAAAGTAAAAATCCAAAGTATAAAATTCTTCACACTGGTAGTATAACTCACTAGTTGAGTGTGTCCATAGCACGCACGAGGTTCTGGTTTCAATCCTTTATTATGGGGGAAAATATACCATAAAGACACAGAATATGAGCAAAAGAAATAACATGAAGGAAAATGTAATGGATTGATCATGAAAGCATATGTCAAAAAAGCCTCACAAATTAAATGTAAACAAGCAAAGCAGACATGTTAGCGCATATCTGTAATCCTAGCTCTTGGAAAGCAAAACTGAAGACTGAGACTTTTAAGTCAGCCTAGACCAAGGAAACTTTTTTCTACAAACTTGAACAAAAAAAAAAAAAAGGTGTGGTTAAACAAAGATAAATCGATCAAGATAACCTACCTCACACACAAAAATGATAAACCCAGTCAATATTTTCTTTTGTCCTTGCACCTATAATAAGTTCTCTTTTTATGACTTAAAAAAAAGACATGAAGTAGTAATTAAAAAAATAGTTCATTGTAATGTTTAGTGTTAGTTGTCAGTCTGACAAAATCTAGAATCACCTGGGAAATGGACCTCTGAACATATCTATTAGGGGATTATCCTGAATTAAATAATGTGGGAAGACACCTCTCATTTACAGGTAGGACCAATTCCCTGAGCCAAAGATCCTGGGCTGTACAAGAGGAGAGAAGTAGCAGAGAAGCATGTATACATTCACACTTTTACTCTGCTTCTTTATTATGGATGCAATATGACTAGCTTCTTCAAGCTCCTGCCATTGTGACTTTCTCCATCATCATGGACTGTGACCTTGAACTGGTATAAACATCCTTTTCCTTAAGTTGCCTGTTTTAAGATATTTTATCACATCAAAAGAAAACTAAGGCATCAATTATATTTCAAGTAAATTACTATAAATAACGAGATATAATTTTTCATCTATCAAATAAAGACTAAAGAAGATATCAATCTCCACTGTTTATAAATTATCAAAATTTCAGATACATAGGAATTCACACTGTCAGAATTAAAATTGTCATAATATTACTAACAGCAAATATTCAAAGTCCCCAAATACTGTCTTTAGCTTAAAAATTCTAATTCCAGACTGTATAGAGAATAATTACTGATATGTGCTAAGACTTAGCAATAAACAGTTGCATAAGTATTTGTATACAGAGTTCAAAAACTACAAACTACCATAATACTAATTTAATAACTAAATCTATACAAATGAATATTATTTGGTGATAAAGTTAAGCTATATAACAGTATTTAGTGAATGGAAATGCTCATGAAATATTTCAAATGAGAAAGACAAATTTTCAAAAATTATAAAATGAATCATTTAATAAATGACAGATATATGAGATAATAATATAGATCAAAGACAGACTATGTAGATTTGATCCTTAGCATCCCTGATCCCTACAAAAGATATTCAGATATACAAAACAATATGATGCAAACTGGTAACAGTAGGTATCAATGGATGACACTATAACTACTTCGCTTATATTCTAAAAAGTAGACAGTATCAAAAATTATTTTAAAATAAGCAAAAACATACAATATTCTTATATGCTGTTTATTCTCTTAAATTATAAATTTAAATTTTTATTAAGTTATAAAAGATTAATTAATTTAAATGTCATGTTTTTAAAACTTGATTCCATACTTCAAATAAGATTTAGAATAAAAAGCCCTGCTCATCTATTATTTGCCCATAGGATTCTGTATTGCTTAGTTCTTTAGAGGTGACATGGCTCATTATAATCCCCCAAAACCATCAAGACTTTGTGTGTGTGTGAGGGGGGGTATCAGTAATGTGTATGGTGTGTACAGGTGCCTGTGCCTGTGCTTCTGGAATCCAGAGGAGGACCTTAAGTGTCTTGCTCTATCTCTCTACCTTATTCTTTTGAGACTAGGTCTCTTACTGGCTTGTACTAGGCAGATAGTCTACCTACCTACACACACACATACACACACACACAGAGTTTTTTACCTGGATACCTGAACTTAGGCCCTCATGGGATGTTAGCACTTTTCTTTATTGTCGTCATTAGTGGGATCCCTGAGTTATTCTAACAGAGCACATGAGCACTTTAGGAAGATGGGGTTATCTTTATTTGGCTTTGCTACTCATGATTATTCATAAACTAACTTAATATGAGACCAGAATCTACACCACCTTAGCTTTCCCCAGAATGGACTGGACGTCATAGATTATGAAAGAACGTCAGAAAATATCTGCAAAATATGAGATTCTATTTCTTGGTCAGCCCTTTGTGGGGATAGCAAAAAATAAAATAAAAAATAAAAAACAAACTAAACCAACCAAACAAAAACCTCAATTGAAAAGTTTGGAAATGTCATAGAGCAAGCACATTAGCTACAAACTGGATGAATAGTTTCTGAATAATTAAAGGCTTGATAATGATACATAATGAAATGAAAGCAAATGTAATGATGCAAATGTAATAATGTTTCAAGTTAACCACATAGTTTCTTTTACTCTATCTTTAGCTTTTTGAGAATTAAATAGTGAGTCTTGAGAATGACATATGTATCAGAAAGACCATTGGGACATGAAAGCAGAAGTGGAGAAGGGACTAGCAAGAGGAGGCTTGGAGAATTAGGTAAAGCGGTAAGAGGGAGATGCATAAGAACAAATTATAATACATACAAAATGTCATCATTTTCATATTATGAAATTGCTTTGTATAATAACTTAAAACTATGTCAAATATAAAACACAGTTAATTAGCAGGGAGTGTTGTCAGATATGCAATTTAGCACTCGGGAGGCAGAAGCAGGAGGATCACAGTTTAAGAGCAATATCACTATACAATAAGATCCCACTGGAAAAAAAATAGGGATTTCTGGAGATTAGCTCAGGGGCAAAGGTCTGTCCAGAATCACAGGGTCCTAAGTTTGATTCTCAGCATTGGAAAAATTAAAAAATATTTTCATTGCGTGACCAGAACTGTATACTCTAGCAACTGCAAAAGAGCAAACCATCCATAATAATTTCTTGCCCAAAGAACAGGAGAAAATCAGTAGACGGCTAACATGGAGTATCATTAAATACACTCTACAGAATCAATGGGCACTCTGGTTTTCTAAAAACTATTGAAGTGAAGCTAGGCAAACAAACCTTCTACTGATCTTTAAGTCTGATACTACTAAAGGACTTTGGGCTCAATTAAATTATGTCATCTTGCCTAATAATTTAATAACTAGCTGAGATACATCAGTTATAATGATGGATAGAATTGATTTTATGTTTTCAGATAAGAAAAATAAACTGGGAAGACAATAGTTAATTTCACTGAACACATATTAAAGACAAAGGGCCTTTGATCCCTGTTGGCTAGAGACACTGCTTTGCCTTATTGGAGAATATTTTCCTGATGTACATGAGCTGTAACAATGCTTGAACTATAAGTTTTATATATACATACATATATATGTGTGTGTGTATACATGCATGTGTGTGTGCATGTATTGTGTTTCTTTTCTGTAGCTGTGATGTAACACCATGACCAAGGCAAATTACAGAAAGATGAATTTACTGGGGTTTATAGGTCCACAGAGTTAAGAAACCAACAGGACAGGGAGGCATGGAAGCTGGAGCAGAAAGCAAAGAAAATTTCATCCTCAACCACAAACATGATGATGCAGAGAAAATGAGAGAGAACTGGAAGTGGGTAAGACTTTGGAACCTCGAAACCTGTTCCTAATGGCATACTTCCTCCAGGAAAGCTGAGTTTCCTAAACTGCTGCCAACAGTGACTCCACATGGGAACCAAGTGTTCAAATACTCAAGTCTATGGGGGGCATTTCTCACTCAAACAACCACATATGGAGAGTTTACAGGAGAGGTTAAGACTGCCACCAAAGGCAGTAATTGCTTATCAGTCTCAGACAGCACAGTTAATAAGAATTGCTCCACCACTAAACTAGATTTCTTGTTGGAAAAGATACCTTCTGAATATTCTCATAGGACAGGGTGCAAGCAATTGAGATTTGGAGCTGAAATGAAGTGTTATTCAAACAAGGGTGGCCTTCATTTAAATATGATTCTACATTGGGAAATTACTGTGAATGGACCGAAATTTATATCTCAGGAATGATAAAAAGTTCTAAAAATCGTGGAGATGATTGTATCACCTTGTGAACAAGTTAGCAAAACTTGAAGTTACATCCTTTGAACAACATTGGAATGTCTTAGTAAAAGAATTACTTAACAATGGATCCCATTTCAATGTTGCTAAGATACAGAAGCCTTATTCTTCTTTGTTTTGTTACTCTATTACAAAAAAACAGTATCTGGAGCTAGAATTGGCTCAGCAGTTAAGAGTAGTTACTGTTCTTGCAGAGGATCCAAGTTTGTTTCTTAGCACTCAGCAGTTCATGATCACATGTAACTCCCATTTCAGGGCTTTGAAATTTTCTTTTGGCTTACATGGGGACACAAACTCACATGGTACATATACAGGAACATACACATATGCATATAGGCTACATATATATAATTTAAAATTAAAAAACAATAGATAAAAAGATCAGTGCTAGAGTGTTCACTATTCTAACTGAAGAATTATAGTATAAACCATCTCAAAATCCATGTTTTTTTGCACCATTGTTTAATGGCCTACTAAAATCACCATAAGAAACAAATTTTATCCATCTTCAATATTCAAAATAGAGCTTTCATTCTATAAACCAACAAACAAATATTCTGTTTATGTACCATTGTATATAAGAGTATGGGGGACCAAATTATTACTATTTTATGGTTACTTATAATTCTATAAAATATGCATATAAGTATATGATAGTGTTCCCCCAAAAGCCAGAGACTAGCAAAACCTCCAGTGACAAGCATAGGAAACCTGCTTTCAAGTTATTGATAAGGAAATTCAAGTGACTTTCAAAATAATATAGCTATTGCTATGACTCTTGATTGTCTCTCAGAGGTTGAAGATAATTTCCTTATTGCTGACACCCCAAAACATTTAACATACAGGATTCAGAATATTTGAACTAAATCTAACCTGCAAACCTCCTTTTTGTGGTCTAGCTTCCATAGTACTTCCTAGAAAGTACTACGCAATTTGCCAAGGAAGCAATCCATGGCCTATGCACTTATAATGGCAAGGTATTCTGAAAGATGAAAAACTAGCACTTAAATTATGGGCACAACCAACAGTTATCTAATTAAACATAAGGCCCACTGAAAGGGAAGGAATTCAGGAATTTATATATCTGGCACAATAAACTTAACCAACTGACCATGGTGGGAAATCATGAACCCTAGAGGAGAACCTACTATTGCCACTTTACTAAACCACTATCATTCCTAACTGTATTCTAAATAATTATCCTTATAACTATACATAAATGTAGCTTGTCTCAACAAAAAATGTTTTTTTTAAGTAAACAGAGAGCATTACAGAAAGTCACAACTTTTCAGAATGTGTAAAAAACCTGACTGTTCAGTGGTCAGACACAACTGATACATCAACAGTACAACTTCTACACCCAAAGCATAGGGAACACTGCAGAAAAGAAGTTAGGAAGAGTCTAGGAGCCAGAGGATTAAAATATCTGCTTTGAGATAGTGTCTTCTATAAATGATATGGAAACAGCACCCTTGTACTTCACATAAATTCCTAACTATGAAAATCTTAGGGTAAGACTCAGAGGGATCGAAAGATTAATCTCTAAACTCTCTGAGCCAGCTTAATTAATAAGTAACTTATTACCACTACTTTTGTAGTTTTGGTGATGAGCCCAGTCTTTTACACGATAGGTGCTTTACCCCCGATCTAAATCCCAGCTCTTATTTATTTCAATGTTAAATATTTACTTCAACATTTTTAAAGCTATATTCACGAAGAAGTGATAAATTGAAGATGACATCCACTATTTTCTTCAAGTGAATTACAAGTAAAAGCTGTTTATGAAACAAGTGTGGCTATTGAAGTTGACCATTATTTGAAGTTAGCTGTGGTACTTGGGAGTTCACTGTACCACTTTATATTTTTGTTTGACATTTTATTAACAAAAAAATTTAACTTTGGCAGAGTGTGGTAGTACATTCTTGTATTACCAACACTGAGCAGGCTGAAGCAAGGTGATCATGAATTCAAGACCAACCTGAGCTACAGAGTGAGATCCTGTCTGTCTTAAAAACAAATGGACACAATTCCAAAGTGACTATCATTTTAGAGAACTGGCCATGGTCTGCTCTTAATAGATTCTACAAGATTTTTCCCCCAGTCAGAATGATAGAAGTTAAATATAAATCAAAATCCCAGTGGCGGGGAGTACATTTGTAATTCACTCAGCTCACTCAATGAGTGGTTAATAATGTCCCAGTGATAAAATGAGGTGTATCACAAATTCTCTTAGAAACTGACAGTTTAGGCACATTTGGCTAGAAAGCTTCCTCCATTTACTAACCTGATCTACACAGTGACTTTCAGGTCAGCCAGGGCTAAACAATCAAACCTTGTCTTTTAAAGAAACAAATAGTAAGAGCTAGTGATGTAGTTTGGTGGTAAAGCACTCATGTAGCATATTGTATGATCTCACAACCATACCGAGTTCTGTAGAATAAAAACTAACAAACCCCAAGAAATTTGAGCTTTGGCGGGAAATTAGGAGAATGCGTCCACTCGTATTTTTATGGCGAAGCTGTCCTACCCTGAGTGACTTTTTACTCGTGCTGCACATGTTTATGGATTCTGAAGAAAGAAAAATAAAAAGTAGAAAACAAGACTATTTTTTTTTGCCAGGAATCACAAAACTAGGTGAAGTGAGAAACATCTTAAGGAACTGAGTGTCCAACAAAAGGCTGTGTGTGTGTGTGTGTGTGTGTGTGTGTGTGTGTGGAGAGGGGTCTCAAAAACTTCCTGTGTCCGCGCCTTTCAATCTGTCTGAAAATTTCCCAAACCCTGATAAAAGACCCTTTCTGAAGTCACATCCTTTTCTTCATGCCCACGTCTCTTCCCAGCAGTCATTTTACCTTACTCCAGCGAATCACATGGTCCAAGACAGCGTCGTCTACTAACAACCAGAGTTTGGTGAGAAAGTGAGGAACCACTGTCTTACGGAATTGTTCCATGTTTTAGGATGTCAATGCTTCAACAAAATGTCAGTCCTGGACAACTGTAGGCAGCAACGAAAACCTAAGCTACTCCGTTAACAGGAGAAGACAATCACGTCAGGTCAAGCAGCAGTTTTCTGAGACAAAAAGTCGATTACCCGCCCTCCTTCAGAACTTAGCTTGGTGGGCGGGTCTTAATTGCTCAAGGGGAAATTCTCATTGGCTGGTTATAGTACCGTGATGGCGGCGCCTCTGGCACGTGACTATTGGGAGATTTCCGGTAGAGGAACAGTGACTATTGGGAGATTTCCGGTAGAGGAACAGTGTACAGTGTGAGGAAAAATGAGCCATGAGCAAAGCAGTAGGGGGCACCACTTGATGTTTTCTCTGTTGCTTTTCTGGCTCTAAGTGCTTTAGTAATAGCTTCGCAGTACATGGTTTTGATCCGTCCTCTGGAGAGATGATGAGAACTGTTTGTTTTTCTTTTTGTTTCGATTTGTTTGTTTAGGTCTTTATGTTTGTTTCTCAGAATCTGACTAGACAGCCCCACTGGCCAGAACTCATTATGTTTATCAGGCTGTCCGTGAGCTCAGAAATCTACAGGCCTCTGCTTCCCTAGTACTGGGATTGAAGATGTGTGCCACCACACATGGCTGGTCAAAATTCTTGGTATGCATGTTGGTGAAGTGAAATACTCCAATAATATTAGAGCGTTCACTTCTTCTAGTGATAAGGTTGGAAGGAGGCCAAGAAGAAACTTTGCCTAAAAACATACAGAAGTGTTGTTGTTGTTGTTTTCTTATTTTTCCATTTATTAGAAAATAGTTTGATGAGGGGCTGGAGAGATGGCACACTCAAAAAGTGATTACCATGCAAGCATGCAGATCAAAGTTCAATCCCCAGCAACCACAGAAAAGGTGGAGGTGGTACCTGTCCTTGTAACCCCAGTGCTGAGGAACCGTGGACAGGTATATTTCTGGGGCTAACTGTCCGTTCATCTTGGCCCATTTGGTGAACCCCAGGCCTGAGTGAGATGCTCTGTCTCAATGAACAAGGTGAATGGCTTCTGAAGAACAATGGGAACCTTGATTTCACTGTGCATACACACACATCCAAACACACACACACACACACACACACACACACACAGTAAATAGTGAATGATTAGAATGCTAATTGTCTTCTGAAATCTTTTGTATCTTCTTGGGTTAAACTGAGTTTTGAAATTTTATATTAATTTTCATATAGAGATAAAATTTATTATAATAGCAATGAATAGCAGTAGGGGCTATCAAACTTATATTTTACATTGATTTTATTTTATTTGAATAACTTTTAAGAGCATATGGAAGAAATTATTATAAGTTTTAAATATCTGCAGAGGAAATTTACATAAAAGTAATTTACCCTTCAATTTTAAAATACTAGACATAAAACATACCTAAGCATCCACGCTTTGTTTTAAAGTTCAAGTTATAAAGAAGTTGGATTAACTGTTTAAGATCTCACAACAAGAGGTTCAAGAGTAGTTTCATACATACTAGCTACATTTCTAAAGGAGGCACATACAGTGGCATCAATATAGGAGGTTGTATTTCAAAATAATCCACAGGTTTCATTGTTAATTAAAAAAATTTTTAAAAATCATTATATGTGTGTGCACACATTAGCAGGCACACTGGCCAATACAGGCATATTTAAAGAACAGGTGTTGATATCAGGATATTTTTGTCTCAGTTGTTTCTGTACCTTAAGTTTTGAAGACCAGGTATTTCACTAAACCTGAAGATAGTCAGTTTGGCTAGATTAGCTGACCAGTGAACCTCCAAGATCCTCTTGTTTCTGCTCCCCCACACTAAGCTTACAGGCATACATTGATGTGTCCAGAATTTTATGCAAATTCTACAGAAAAGCAAGCACTTTACCTACTGAGTCATCTCCTCAGGCCCTGCAATTCTTACATTGGTTTTATAGATTATCACTCTTGTACACCAAATAGTTCTAATTATGACTTTTCTCATATGAGGAGCAAAAAATATTTTAGTTCAGCCTGTATAAATTTTTGAATATATATTAAGAAGTGTAACTACCATGAGCCTTGATGTTAACATAATAGTAATGGTTTTAATGACATTTTCCCAAATCTTGTTTTTACTCTGCTCCTCTTTGCCCATTCAGACTTTATGATTCTGGATAAGAAATAATTAAATTTATATCCCTGACACATATGCATGCAAAATTACTAATAAAAGTGGTTTATGAAAAAGTTAGCAAAGCACTGAGGTTTTGCAATCAATTTATGTCAGAATGTCTACTGGAAATTATGAAAGGCCTTGTTCTCCAAAGGTACTGGAAGAAAGTGTTAATAATTTCCAGATTAAAAAGTTTCCACAAAAATATGTTTGTAATCTTTTCATAATTAAACACAGAACAGATATGACATTAAAAATGAGTGGTTATTTGTCTAATATCCAAAAGGATGAATACATTCAACTCATAATAATTGCACTGTATTGGGGAGCATTTGACAACTCCAAAACCATGGGCACTTCATTTGGGTGTTACCATTCAGAGTCTGTGTATGGCCATATTTTTTCAAAGGTGATAAGGGGAAATCTTTGGTTCTTAGCAGCTACATTGTCTATGAGATCATCATTTCTCTCCACTTACCTTTCATCAAGATTACCTTCAATAGGGTTCCTGCCATGCTGACAATGTAGCATCTGAGCATCACACATTATTTCCAGGGTTCTAAGATACTACTCTAGTAGTCTGATTTAGTTCTATGTTTCAGTAGATAGGCAACACCTTAATATATGTTCTGTTTACAACAGCTTCCTTATTTCTCTTTCTTCAATATTTTTTAGGCAATTCCTTGCTTAGCCTTCTATATACATTTCCTTTTTAAATTTTGGTTTATTTTTTTTTATATTTTTCAATTCACTGAGAAGTTTATTTTGGCTTATGTTTCTTGAAAATACACACACACACACACACACACACACATACACACACACAATCTCAGACATTGAAATTAGCAATAATTAACAAGATTTACTAAAATTAATATGGTGGTGAAAATGTTAAATTTCCCCCATATTATCTGGCGTTTGAATGCTTGGGTATCAGCTGCTGATCTTCTTTGCAAAATCACAGGAGGTTTGTTCTTCCTGGAGGAAGTATGCCACATGAGAGAGGTGGGTGAGACCTCAAAGGCTTGTGCCATTTAGATTTGCTCACTCTATTTCCTGCTTATAATTTTCAGTATGAAAAATGGGTATTATAATATTACTTCAGTCAGATTCTAATATTATCCATATTAGCTTAGCCTACACTACTAAAATACATTCTCTATTGACATATCATCTTTAGTCTGAAATTTCATTGGTCTTCTTTTATACTAATTGCTTTCTGATAGTCATATGAAGCCTGGTCTCTATTTTTCTTGACCAAATGATATTTCTTAGAATTTACTTTTCTATGCTAGGAATGGAATACAAATCCTCAGACACAGAGGCAAGTACTCTTGTCACTGTGTTGTACACAAACTCCAAATGGTGAATATCTTAAGAGCAAAATGCCGCAGTTAAATAAGCAAATGGTGATTATTGAGTGGAAATCAAATTGATAATTGCTAATATTATTAAATGAAATTATAAAACGAGGCTTATATTGAAATATGCTTTACTTTTCTAGCCTTTTAGCTTTTTAAAAGAATTCCATAAGTGCATACAATATATTTTTATCAAGTCCTTTCCATTCCTCCAATTACTTCATGAGTTCATAAATACACTTAGTACCGGCACTATTTTATGAGTGGAGGGCCATCTACTGGAGCGTGGTTGGCCTGTCAGGGTCTGAATCCTTAAAGAAAGTTGACTCTGCCTTTCCCAGCAGCCATCACTTGAAAGAAGTTGAATTTCTTTACTTATTTCTCTGAGTCTTTTCATATAAATTCAAAATTATAAATATTCATATCCATTCTGTTTGTGTGGATTGTCTTTGTGGTACTAGGGATTTAATCCAAGGCCCAGTAGATGTTAAGCAAGCACTCAGCTGCTGGGCTGTGTCTCCACTCTAATCCCTGCTCCTTCAACTAAATGAAATAGTGATTTCTGATAAGAAAAAAATTAGTATTTAGGTAAGACTGAAAGCTAGTTATAATTTTTTGCTCAACACCTTCACAACTCTTCTCTATTCCCTTCTTCATTTCTTCTCTATATTCCCAACATTTAAGAATAAGCCAAGGAAGTCTTTGGAGTTTTCATTCTTGTGTTTAACAGTTAATTCTCAGCCTTCTTTAAAAGAACTCAGGCAGGCAATTTTCTATTTCATTATATAACTTTAAAATTATTTTTCTTTGTAAAAATTTAGATTTTTTATCTCAATAGATAAGTGTTATCATTACATTATGATAAAAGTGCTACATTTGCTTACTGTCTCCTAGGTTTTATATTTATATTTTAACTGAATTATCAAGTTGTCAGTCAACATTATTTTATAAGCTATACATTATATATATATGTGTGTATATATGTATAGAGACAAACAGGTTTGTGTGTTGGTTAATTAATCAATGTTCCCCCAAGCCATTCTTCCCTTTCCAATCATACAAATCGTATTCCACTGTAATCAGTGACACTGTGATTATCTCCCTGCTGGTCTTTCTGCCTGAATATCTTCTTTTCAAAATCATCTTGTATGCTATTGTCAGATGTAATTATTCTGCCAAGAAAATTGTGGTGACTTCTTTTGCTAACACATATTATATAAGTTCATTTTCTGTTACTATAATAAGAAATATGATGCTGAATACTTTAAAAAAAGACTCGAACAAAAAGAATAAAGCCCAAACAAAATGAAATCAAAAGCTCACATGAAATTGAGTTTGTTTTGTATTGTTTAAGTATTTGCTCTGCAGTATAGTTGATACATACAGTGGCATTCCATTGTAGAAAACTAACTTTCCCCTTCCCCGAAAGTATTTTTTGTTGTTTGTTTGTCTGTTTGGGGGGGGG